CCCCCGCCCGCCGCGCCGCTGCGCACGCCGCGCCCCGCAGCGCCCGGCTTCCTCCTCGCTAAGGTGGCGTTGGGCCGGCGCGGGCGCTTGGCTGCCTGCAGCTGCTCGGCTCCCCGCCCCCCGCGCCGCGCGGCCGCCCGTCGCTTAGCACAGGGCTGGATGGTTGCATTGGGCAGGGTGGCTCCAGGATGTTAGGGACTGTGAAGATGGAAGGGCATGAGAGCAGCGACTGGAACAGCTACTACGCGGACACACAGGAGGTGAGACGCAGGCAGCAGGCGGGACACTCTAGGAGGCCGGGCGAGGCGGGCGCCGGCCAGGGTGGGCGGCCGACGGACTGGGGGCGCCTCCTTCGTGCCACCCACCCGGTGTGGCCCCGGCCGGGCTTTGGCCGGGCCTCGGAGCCCGATCGGCTGCCCCGCGAGGGCGAAAAGATTTTAGGAAATTCTGGGCTTTTAAAGTACCCGCTCCGGGAAGCACTTGCCTCTTCCCTGCGGAGAGCCGGAGCCGGAGCCGGGCCGGGGGTGTCGCGGTTTGGCGGGCGGGCGCTGCAAGAGTTGGAGGCCACTCTGAGAAAGCCTGAGTTTGCCTACAGGGGCGACCTCTTCCCCCCGCGGCTGAACTCGCATATGTCTTCTGATAAAAGCGCGCCGCCGCTCAGTGGAGCGTCTTAATAACGAACCGATTCCGAAATTTTATAAAACTTGCTCAAAAGCCCTGTTTGGGGAGAAGTGTGCCCGTTCTTCTCCAGAACCGCTGGGTGGCGCTGATGCAAGCTGACTTTTCCTCCAGCACTCCGGGTGGAGAACCTGTTTCTCTTCATTGTCCCCTTGGTGGCACGTTCATGCACTTTATTTTACAATGTGCACAAAGGGATTGCGAGGAAAATCAGGTACAGGCAGGACCACCGCAAATAAAAGTACTTCTCTGTTAACAGCTGGTGATTATCCCCCCAAAGTTTCCCATTATTGGAAACGCTTATTGAAACTGCCTTGGACAATCGAGGGGAGAAGAAAAGGAAAAAAAAAAGTCAGAAGTAGGTTAAAACATAGACAGAAAAATGTAGAATCGGAAAATATTTTCATAATAATTTATTTAGATTTGTATACTTATATAGTCACAAATTTACCTTGAGTTTATTTGCATACCATAGCAGAGTGTGTGCCTACTTAAATCTGTTTGTTCACCTTTTGTTTTCAAATGAAGTCATATTTGCTGATGAAAATAAATGTAAGAATATCACTATTTTTATTAAATTATAAGAGAAGGAGCTTTTATATGTCTGACTCTGTATTTTTAACATATCTAGTACATTCTCCAATGGCTAGCTATAAGGGTTTTCTCCTCCTGGTGATTTTAAAAGGAGCTCAGAACTCTTCCTCAGGTTTAAGTCAGAGGCAGTCACCTCGACCTACTCCGAGTCAATTAAGTCCCCTATGGAAAGAGCTTCCTGACTGAGAATTGGGAAGTAGAAAATAAGTAGACTTTGATTTTGGAATTTTAAAGCATGTGAAACTATTTATATAGTTTCAAAAGCCAGGGTTTGAAATGATTAACAGCACCATATCAGCATGTGAAAAACTATAGATGATTCTTTCAACAAATTGTGTCATGAAATTTTCAAACCTTAGGGGGCTGGAAATAGGTAACGAAATTAGTGCACGTTTTTGAATGGCTTAAAGAGGTGTACATGTAAACACATGTTAAAGTTAAATGTATGTAGTGCATTGATTTTATGCATCCCTCCCTGCCTCTTTCGTTGTGGATCTGTTTAAAATATTTTTTTCAAAAAGTTATTTAACCTCTGAGTTCCTTTCCCTTTTAATGTTACAGTTGCTACAAGTAGATGGAAAACACTACTTCTAAATATAATAAATAACAAAAAAGTCACCACTTGGCGAAAGCTGCTAAGATAGTAAATCCAGTTATTGGGAAATGGATAGTCATATGGCCATGGATGCTTTACTCTGTCAGGGAAAGTCTAATTAATAGCCACCCTGCACCTCCGAGGCTGCTATGTGATCTGCCCGGCCGGCAGGTTTAGGGGAAATGGGCACAGAGTTGGTGCCCTACCCCCCCCCACACCCCCGCATCCACAAACTCACTGCACCCTTAAGGTGGAGTGAATAAGTAGAGGATCAGAGATTATTTCTATGTTCGGAGTTTTAACTCCTTTTAACCAAAAGGGCACTTTGCCTAGGCCGATCTGAGGTGGAGACTAGGAAGCCGCCTGGCCTGGATGGAGGAGGAGATGGAGGGTCCCCAGAAGGCAGCCCCTGAACCTGGTGTGTAAGGTGATTACACGTCTTCCTCGGGCCATATTTTCTGTGGGCATTTTATCTGTCATGCCTGCCACGCTAGGTTTTTATACCCCCTGCCGTGCAAGACATCTCTGCTCATTCTGGAGAGAGCGCCTGGTGGTTTTTTGCCCCGGTGGTGGTGGTGGTCCTGTGTTTTGCAGAAATGCTTTCCTCTTGTCTTCGGGTTTGCGCACCACTAACGCAGCCCTTTGGGGTCTCTTCACTCGCTGTCTCTGCTCCAGGCCTACTCCTCGGTCCCGGTGAGCAACATGAACTCCGGCCTAGGCTCCATGAATTCCATGAACACCTACATGACCATGAACACCATGACCACGAGCGGCAACATGACCCCAGCTTCATTCAACATGTCCTACGCAAACCCGGGCCTGGGCGCTGGCCTGAGCCCCGGCGCCGTAGGTGGCATGCCCGGCGGCTCCGCGGGTGCCATGAACAGTATGACAGCGGCAGGAGTGACTGCCATGGGGACGACTCTGAGCCCGGGAGGCATGAGTGCCATGGGTGCGCAGTCAGCAGCTTCCATGAACGGCCTGGGCCCTTATGCCGCCGCCATGAACCCGTGCATGAGCCCCATGGCGTACGCACCGTCCAACCTGGGCCGCAGCCGGGCTGGGGGCAGCGGCGACGCCAAGACTTTCAAGCGCAGCTACCCGCACGCCAAGCCGCCGTACTCCTACATCTCGCTCATCACCATGGCCATCCAGCAGGCGCCCAGCAAGATGCTCACGCTGAGCGAGATCTACCAGTGGATCATGGACCTCTTTCCCTATTACCGGCAGAACCAGCAGCGCTGGCAGAACTCCATTCGCCACTCACTCTCCTTTAACGACTGCTTCGTCAAAGTGGCCCGCTCCCCGGACAAGCCCGGCAAGGGCTCCTACTGGACCCTGCACCCGGACTCCGGCAACATGTTCGAGAACGGCTGTTACTTGCGCCGCCAGAAGCGCTTCAAGTGTGAGAAGCAGCCAGGGACTGGGGGCGGGAACGGGGGCAATGGTGGCACCAAGGGCGGCCCTGAGAGCCGCAAGGACCCGTCGGCGGCAGCCAACCCCAGCGGCGACTCACCCCTTCATCGGGGCGTGCACGGTAAGACCGGCCAGCTAGAGGGCGCGCCGGCCCCGGGGCCCGCCGCCAGCCCCCAGACTCTGGACCACAGCGGGGCGACAGCGACAGGGGGCGCTTCGGAGTTGAAGACTCCAGCCTCCTCAGCTGCGCCCCCAATCAGTTCCGGGCCCGGGGCGCTGGTATCTGTGCCCCCCTCCCACCCGGTGCATGGTTTGGCACCCCACGAGTCCCAGCTGCACCTGAAAGGGGACCCCCACTACTCCTTCAACCACCCCTTCTCCATCAACAACCTCATGTCCTCCTCGGAGCAGCAGCACAAGCTGGACTTCAAGGCCTACGAGCAGGCGCTACAGTACTCGCCCTACAGCGCTGCGTTGCCTTCCAGCCTGCCGCTGGGCAGCGCCTCGGTGGCCACCAGGAGCCCCATCGAGCCCTCAGCCCTGGAGCCGGCCTACTACCAAGGTGTGTATTCCAGACCTGTCCTAAACACTTCCTAGCTCTCTCAGACTAGGGGTTTGTTTGGCATGGCCATGCTGGTAGCAGGAAAGGGGGAAAAAAATCAACAGCAAACAAAACCACATGTACCAAGCCGACAACAGCGTAATAAAATCCCAACTATTTTTATTTCTTTTTGTGTGTGTGTGCACAATCTTTCCCCCAGTGCGAAGGACTGTTACTTGATTGTTATTCAAAAACGCCTTGTGTATATTATTACCAAGAAAACCAACCCCAAACCAACAAAATTTTTCCTTGCAAAGTTTAATGATCCACAAGTGTATATATAAAACCCTTCTACTTCCTTGTCCCTCTCCCTTTCTCTCCTCTTCCCCCTCCACATTCTAGTGTGTGCAGGGTTTATTTAAAAAAAGAAAGATGGTCAAGCTTGTAAACTATTTGTGCTTTTTTCCCTACTCACCTGACGCCCCCCCACACACAAGTTTACAGGTCTATGGCAGTACTCTTCACCATAAGAGCTGAAAGGGTGAACAAACAAGTAGACACTAGGGGCTGTTGAAAGTATTGAAGGACAATTCTGCTTTTATGCAGCAAAACAAACGTTATAAACATCAGAGCCATTTGTTTTTCAGCTTACATTTCTGATACATTCAGATAGCCGATGTCTTTAAATGAAATACATATATATTATGTACCAACTTATTTATGCACATGCTCAGATATGTAGACACCCTCTATATATTTACATAACGTATAGAGGTAATAGGTAAGTGGTATACATGCTATATTTTCAAGAGTTGCCAGACCAAGAAGTTACAAAGACACCCCCTCCTTGTCCTCTGTACCCACCTATAGCCCTGGGAATCAGTTCCTGAAGAATTCCCTCAGTAACTCTGCTCCTTGCTTTGCAGAGTGCCATGGTCATGTCATTTTGAGGTCACATAACATGTATAAAATTAGCTTCTATGTATCTATACCATTGAAAGAATATTTTTCTCCAGAAAAAAAGGGAATATTACAGTGTTTGAGGAGAGATGTTATAGGGAGCTGTATTTCAAAATTTGGTCCAAGATTCCAAAATCCATTTGATTGTGGTCATTTTAATTATCGCCATCGTGTGCTTGTTTCATTCAGTGTTAATGCACTTTTCACAGTTGGACATGGTGTTAGTATAGCCAGACGGGTTTCATTATTATCCCTCTTTGTTTTCTCAATGTTAATTTATTGCATGGTTTATTCTTTTTTTTCTTTACAGCTGAAATTACTTTAAATGATGGTTAAAACTACAAATTAAAATGTTAATTTTTATCAATGTGATTGTAATCCAAATATTTTGATTTAAATAACAAAATGATAAATTTTAAGCCGTGGAATATGTTCTTGATCATTTGCAGTTAAGGACTTTAAATAAATCAAATGTTAACAAAAAAAGATTTTTGTTATTTTCCTTAATTAAATCCAAAATAGATATTCGGAATATGATATTTTTCAAAGTCCGGCACTGAATATACACGACAAAAAGGAAAATAATCTAAAACAAATTTGTTTTATTTGTTTACTATATGAACATGTAGTACAAAGTAGGTAAAGAAATTGAATAAACGTGGATAGAGAAATTGATTTAATATCCCCAAAATTGAGTTTTTAAGATTCTTTATTCCCAGTAATATTTACTTCAGTTTTTGACATGGACTTACTTACGCCTTCTGTGTTTCCTTTGAGTCTTTCCACAATGAAATCAAGTACTATTAATTTAACTACCTTTCTCCCTCCCCCAGTGTATCATTTTCTTTTATCTGAGAAACATTCGGGTGAGAATAAAATATCAGATGTGGTTTAAAATTAAGTTGTCTACAACAGAACCCTGAACCCTGTTTACATTAAGAGAGAAACAAAACTCAGCCAGCATGGCAGCTTTGGAGGGGGCCAGGGGAGCCCAGTTAATTCCCACCTGCAGGGGAAGCTTTGTGCCACCAGCAACATTTCACGTAGCTGCTATTTTGTATTTTGAGAAGATATTTTTTTAAAACATTGTTTCTAATAATGCCGTTCCAGAGAACATAATGATGATTTGTTTGCCCTCTAAGCAGCTTTTAAATGCAACTTCACACCCCTACAGTTGCTTGAGATCACAAAATCGTTAATCTCCTTTGATAGTAGGCTCACTTTCCAGTCCACCTATTTCTTTGTAAGTCTTCTTCGGATTGACATCAACAATAACAACACCAGCCCGAGCATAGGCTGGCCTGCCCACGCTCTTGTGTATGAACTCTATCCTCGCCAGGGCTTGAACTTGGACAGCCTTTACTTTGATCGCCCCACTCCACACCGAGGACAAGATAAAAAGAGCTGCGTGAGTCCCTTAATTATCGCGTAATTGCCTCCCCAGATGAGAGACAGGGTGCCATGTAGCACTTGAGAAAAATCCAGAAATCCCAAACTACCCCCACCCCTGCTCTCACTTGAACGCGTGAAAGCAGAAGGAAATTACTGGTTGGAGTCATTTCAAAACCTGGAGGCCTGGGAAGGATGTTCAAGTTCCAAAGAGAGGGAAAAGCTTTCAATCCCAAGTTACTTATATTTAGGTAGAAGGTAAACAAATCTCAAATTCGAATTCCAAACGTAATATAAGGCGTGAGCTTGGGCCTCGGAATTTTACCCGGCCACACTGAATCTTACATCGTCTAACTTTCGTGCGTTCCTCTCCGTGGTCTCTTTCCTTTCTCTAAACGTAGCAGCAGTATCCATCCATGCCTTGCCTTTACCCACCAGGTTTAAGACGGCCTTCGCGCTCGCTATCTTACTTGGCAGAGACTTTCTGGGCTTGCAGGGTCGAGGAGCCTCGGGTTTAGGACCCGAGGCCACTTTAGAGACCTGCCTGGGAAGCTAGAATGGTCGGTCGCGGGGAGCAGGCCTCGCCTCGTGAGTTTCTCCTTCGATTTTCTGCCACCTCTGGGTACCTTCCGCTCACTTTGCCACCTCTGGGCGTTGCAATCTGGGCCCCGTGCGTTTGGACGCGCGCGGGTTGGGGCCGGGGCAGTCGGTTGCCGGGGGAGCGGGGAACAGAGCAGGACCGCATGCATCTCGAGGTGACAAATGCAGTTAGTTCTTCATTGTTTGGGCATTTTCCCCTCCTAGCGAATAAATCTGTTGAGCCCAAGACCTAAAAGTCAACAAAGAAGGCCAGGCGCCTCGTTACGGCTCCTGCGGCCCCAACGCCCGCGTCGCCGCGGCTGCTCCCGCTGCGTAATCCCTTCCTCGGAAACCCAGACACACAAACGCCGGAACGCCCGGGGCTGGGGCGCCGCGCCCCAGGGCCGGGAGGAAAACATCTGTGGTTTCGAGGGAGTGCTGAGACCCTCCACGAGCGCTCCGCTTTCTCGCGACGCCCTCCCACCTACCCCCTTTTCGTCTAGAAGTCTCTATAGTTCTTCACCTCGGATGCTCTTGCAGACCGTGGCCAGAAAGGGGATGCTGCCGGGTCAGGCGCGGTCCACCGGGCTCGCCGTATTTAGGAATTCGCCCAAGGTGGGGGAGGGGTCTCCCGAGAAGGAGGGAGGGAGCGAGAAGGAGAAACCTTGCAACAGACCCAAGTGCAAAGCTCCCGAGGCCCTCGGATCCATCGACGACGCCCCCGAGCAAACACTTTTAGAAAAAAAGAAAACTGTTTGGGCAGTGAGTATATAGTGCCGGGGAGGAGAACGTCGAATGTTACTTTCACCTTGTTACAGGCCTGACACATTTTTTTAAATTGATAAAAAGACGACAACGACTAAACATTGATACGGAAGAAGAAAAGTTCACCGGATCTATTCAGCAGAAACTACATAACTTAGAAGGGTTCCCAAATAGAAGGCAGATGAGTCTGTTTTATACATGATGGCTAATACAGTGTTTAAATCAAAGATAAAATTTAATTTCCATTGTTCCTTCGTGATCCCCTCATAGCAGAATAAACTGGTGAGAATTATTATGGGACGAGGGATTAAACAAACAAAATCCTATTAATGTTCTTAAGTTTTGTTTTCATTTTCTGAAGCTAGATACCCGACTGACTTCACTGAAAGTATAAAAAAACACTACTTTTTTTCAGGAGTCTAACAGATTTGAATGAGCCATACCAGGAAAGTATTCCTGGAGTGACAAAAAATTTACCTCGTTGTTTTGGCACTGTAAAAAATTGATCTCAATTCCACAAAAATGCTTATTAAAAAACTTCTGCGATCAATACAAATTCCTTTCCATGCAGAGCAAAGTAGAAGACCTGTAACCCAAATTAATTAACCTTTCCTTAAGATCAATTGGTTTTCTGTTGATTTAGCAGTAATATTGTAGAACATTTAGCTATAATGTATTTTAATGTGATACCTCAAGATGTCAAGAGGAAAAACTCATTGAAAAGATCAAATTGCTTAAGTTATTAGATGTTACTAAATTTGTAAAAATATTTTACTTTCAAAATTAAATTTTAATTGTTTATTTGAATTGTAGCAAAATGTGTTTTGCAACTAAATGGAGTTCAAATGTCTAATTACTTCAAGATAATTATGTGCAAAAAAGGTGATTATTTGTAGTTAAATTATGCTGAAATTTAGAAGTAAGACTTTCCCAAACAGTAAGAACACTAGCTGAAGAATCAAAGAAACTCATCAGAGTAAGAATATAAAGAAATGAAACAACTCGTAAGATCTTATAACCTTCCTATTTAGAAATTGAATCCATTCGAGGAGGAGATACAAAATGTTTTTAGAGTAGCCATTTATGCAGGTTTTATATTCTACTGATGACCCTTTTTGGTGTATCCAAATAACATTTAATAATAGATTACTTTAAATATTCTGTTTTTGTTTTCTTCCCAATAGTTAAGTTTGAGGCCATAATGGTCCATTAGTGTTTTTCTTTTTAGCTCACTGTCTAGCTTGGTTCATTGAACTTTGGACAGCTCAGGCTGCAGACCTCACCTTTTTTTTTTTTAAAATCCAGCCATCATTCTAGCAAGCAATAGGCAGCTGAGAAACACCTATGCAGTTCAATTTTAACTTGTGAAACACATGCCTTTTCCATATATATATATATATATATATCCCACTTATTACCTTTTATTTTCTATCTAACTTCCTCATTTCTCCACTTATGTCATCTGTGACTACACAGTGTCCGAGCAAAGCTGGGGGTGAGCCTGAGCTCTCTCCTGCAGCCCTGGAAAGTGAGGAGCAACCCTCCTAGATGGCACTTCATGATATGTGTGGGTTATCTAGGTTCTAGTCAACTTAAGAGTATAAAAGCAGAATATCCTTCCTCAATATCCAGGAAGGAAAGAGCTTAATAAAGTGCTTGAGAACCTCAGGAACCAGGTGGGAGGCTGGTCAAGTCACATGGACATCAAGTTCAGATCCCTGCCAGCACCAGGGATGGCCTGATTCAGAGTTCTAAGTGTGAGGTTGCTTTAAGTTGACTTTTTACTTCTCAACTGCTCTTCAAGATTACACAAGGGGCTTTAAAAAAAAAATCCTGAAACCAAGAGAAACAACCTGAAAATACTCTCCAAAGCCTGGAATTTGGCCACACAGCTTTAACCTTAGTTTCTCTTCCTTTTCTCCCAAGAAATCATAGTTATTCCTTTGCTTATCTAATGACGTCCTAGCTCTCTCTCTCTCTCTCTCCCTCCCTCCCTCCAAGGAGTTATTTTAAACTATAAACAATTTAATGAGAAGAATGTAAGGCCTTTGTGATGGTTTGTTTCGTTTAGATATTCACTTTCAAGGACCCATTATGCACGAGGGAGGAGGGAGGCTCCCACAGAGTGAAAATCTCGGAGAGCTGATTTTCTTTGTGCGGTTCAGGTGACTTGGGGCGCTTTTGGAAAGGTCCCCTAGTTCTGGGTCCCACCTGGGAGCCTTTGCTTTACTCCTATAGCCCCGCTGCAAACGCCTAACCCAATAGCTGCTCGACCCCGAGCGCCAAGTCTCGCTGCGTTCTCCACCGCTTTTTCCTAGGTGGAGGCCGATTCACAAGCTCAAGCTGCAATGAGTCGTGTTGCATGCAGCACATGGCACCGTTCTGGTTCCCTCACCTCTCACTCACAGTGGCTTCTGCTGACACGCGCTTCCTTTGTGTTATGCCTGGCTAATATATTAATGGGGCGGATAACCCGGTCCTTTGAGCAGGAGTGGAGGGGGTTGGAGACCGGCAAGGGAGGGAAGGGAACCGAACTGATCTAGTTGCTGAACCCTAGGCCAAAAGAATTCAGAGGCGGGCGGGGGTGGGGTAGGGTGGGGGCAGAATGAAAATCGAGGTGGGGAAAGTTCACGTTGAAAGCGCTGAAAGCAGACTTAAATGACTGCAACAAGTTTTTAGAAAATGTGATCCGATGCTAAGGTGCTGTCCTGGGTTCAGAACTGCAAGGCCGGACGCTGCGGACTCTGGAGAAACTGCGGAGCCGGCCGTGCGCCTGCAGCTGAGGGTCCCCCTCCATTCCCTCGGTGCCCCCCTCCCCCTCCTGGGCCGGGCTGCGCGGTGGCCTCGAGTCACAGGTGAACAATCCTGCCTATCGTATGGATGCCCCTCTCTGCGGTGCACACTTTCTCAGACTCATCAAGCTCTATCTCAGCCTTAGATGCTGCATCCAGTGGTTAAAAATAGACTTCCAACTACCCTGGCCGGATGCGCTCAACGAGATCTCTGCCTTTCCCTCCTTCACCTCCAAAGGGCTGTGTTAATCAGTTAAGTCTCAGGTCTTAACTGATTAACGACAGATGGACCCCCTACGCTACGCCGCGAAGTGGGCACGAGGAATCGCGACCCCGGAGCGGAGGCCTGGGCCCCCGGGAACGCTGCTACCGGGTGCGGGACTTGTCTCCTGTCCGGCACCCCAGGCCAAGCGCACAGGCCGCCTCCCCAGCAGGCCTGCGGCCCCGCCCGCCATACGGTGCCCGGGCGCCCCGAGACATATGCTGCCCGCAGGTCGCGCGGCCCGACGTGGTGCTCCTTGCCGAGGCGGTTCTCAGCCCATCAAAAGCCCAGGCTTTCTTCAGCCGTATGGGCCGCGAGGTGAACAACAATGCCTGGGCCCCTTCACTTCAAAAGCGGCGATCAGGGGAAAGGCTCCCCCAGAGATTTTTTTTTTCCCTCCTCAGCCTTTCATTCCTGTTTTCTTTCTTTCTTTTTTTTTTTTTTAAGGCATCAGCAACTCCAGGGCCCGGGCGAGCCTAATGCCCTTTGATGGGGATTGAATTCATTATCTCCAATAACACAATTGTGCTTGGCCAACGAAAAGAGCAAAGCAAGGCTCTATCCCGCCCGAGGGGCCCGGCCGGGCGGGGCGGGCGGCGGAGCGGCCGAGCCGCGCTCCTGGGACCCGCTCGGCGGCGCGCCCTGGGCCGGCCGGGCCCAAACCGCGGTTCCACCGGGCCGGGGGTGGGAGCGCGGGCCCGCGGGGAGGCCGCAGGACCGGTGACGCCGCCCGCGGAGGGCGCACGGGGAGGGGACGGGGTGGCTCTCTGGTTTGATTTATTTTTCGCTTCTCCCTTTGCAACCATGCCCCGAGGGCGGCCCTGGGGGCTGGGTGTTTACTCTCTTCCTTCCTGGCCTCCAGCTGCGAAGCAGTCCCTGGACCCGGGGCGCGCTGACCACAAAGGCCGCCCTGCGCCCCTGGCTCAGCGCGAAGGGCTCCTAACCTCTGGGTCGCACCGCTCAACTCCGGCGCCCAGGGCTCGGTGCCCGCTTTACTAGCAACCCAGCACCGATAAACGGGGATTTAAATCGCCCCTGCCCTGGAGTCCCCTTTGCTTAAGCTGTCCCCACTCGCTTTCACGCCAGCAGCCATCGGCTCTGATCGCGCAACGGCGCTCCGGGAGCCTGGGCCCGGTCAGCAGTGCTGTGCCGCCCTTCGCTTCCGGCCCGGTGGACACTGCCCGGGACCGCGACCTCCACGTGAGCGCCTCCTCCCGGGTTCCACTGTCTCCATGCCCTTTCAGCCACCTCCAGCCCCTGCTTCACTGTTCTCCTGAATGTACCGCGGTGAAAACAGGCTAAAACCGGCACTGTCACGTGCCTTGACTTCGTGTGTGTGTGTGTGTGTGTGTGTGTGTGTGTGTGTGTGTGTGTGTGAGAGAGAGAGAGAGAGAGAGAGAGAGAGAGAGAGAGAGAGAGACTCTGAGAATCATGATCAAAGTCATGATCAAAGAAGACCTCTATAGCTTGGTGTTTAAAATATGAGTTGAAGTGATTTTATTACTGGACATACTTCCTACACGACCCTATGTCCTCCCTCACCCATTACTGGGGAAAGTGTGTATTGCAGGTTTATTTCAGGCAATTAAAGAATAATCACAACAGAATTTAAAGTACCTTTTGTGTGTGTGGGTGCAAGAACACTTATGGAACGCTCCAGGGTAGAAACTATGGATTAGGATTACTCATTCCTTGCCAATTAGTCATGACTATCCCAATCTTCAAGCTATCCACTCTTCACCTTTCTCTTCAGGGAATTAGAGCCAGCACAAGTGTACTACAGAAGGGGGGTGTGTGTGTGTGTGTGTG